AGGTAATGAACCGAGATATTTTTACTACTTGGCTTTCGGTACCACTTTGTAATGTAGCCATTTTCTGATAGGTGAATTTGTACGTTCAAAAATGGAAGCCATTTTTCTTTCAGCTTTTCTCGGGTGAACATGATGTACTCTGACTGTGCGTTTAACAATTCGAAACATTTGTCCATTTCCTCTTGTGTTGAGCAAAGGACAAAGCAGTCGTCTACATACCTACAGTAGAGTAGCGGCCCGAGATCAGTCACCGGTGCTTCCACCTTAGACATAAATGCAATGGCAAGGCTTGGAGCCAGTCGTTGTCCCATTGCCAACCCTCTTATTTGAGCGTAGTACTTTCCAGACCATCTGAAGATTGAGCAGCTCAAGCATTCTTTTAAGAGTGCCATCAGGTGCTCTATCCTGAAGCCATACATGTTTATTTCTCCTTCGTGTTGTGTAAGGAGTTCGAATATGGCTTGCATTGCGGAGTCATTCGACACGTTTGTATAAAGGGCGGTAACGTGGAAGGACTCCATCACGCACGCGCTGTTGGGCTGCGCAGTACGTAGACGATCCAGAAACATCTGGGTATTCGTAAGATGGGCTGAAATGTGTTTCAACAGCTGGTTAAATATCAGGGATAAAAACTATGTTATCCTGTCCGTTGACCCGTCTACGCAGCTAATGATAGGTCTAGCCCTAAATAGTGATGGATCGTTAGACGCAAGATCATCGCTGGATACTAACTTATGTTTTTATAAGTAAGTACAAGACGGGGCATGTTGGTAAGTCAACTTTAAGTTGAGAGATAACTGATGGTTTTAAACCAACAGCCCTTGCCATTTTGGCCCATTCGTGGTTTAGTTTTCGGTGTTTACTTTTGAATTCCTCCTCAGATGATGGGCGATAAAGCGAAGCATCCTCAAGATGCTTTTTCGTTATCTCCACATCTAACTGATGAGGAATTACGACAAACTCTCCACCCTTATCACTAACGGAAAGTCTTATGATTTTCAACCTTATCAGGTCTCGTACCTCTCGCATACCACGTTTTTGCACNAAGATCATCGCTGGATACTAACTTATGTTTTTATAAGTAAGTACAAGACGGGGCATGTTGGTAAGTCAACTTTAAGTTGAGAGATAACTGATGGTTTTAAACCAACAGCCCTTGCCATTTTGGCCCATTCGTGGTTTAGTTTTCGGTGTTTACTTTTGAATTCCTCCTCAGATGATGGGCGATAAAGCGAAGCATCCTCAAGATGCTTTTTCGTTATCTCCACATCTAACTGATGAGGAATTACGACAAACTCTCCACCCTTATCACTAACGGAAAGTCTTATGATTTTCAACCTTATCAGGTCTCGTACCTCTCGCATACCACGTTTTTGCACTGGAATGAGGTTTGAGCTGTATCTTTTCGCGCGGTAGTGATTAAAGACTTTGAGAGTTTCATTCGCAAACATCCGAAATTTAACATCAACTTCATTATTGGGCTCTTGTTGTCTAAAGAACGTCGGGGGAAATGGTGCTATTGGTAGGGCCCCCACTTGATGTTGTTCGCACCCATTTAGCGCTTCATCTCTAGCTTTTTTGCGGAGTCTATCTTGAAGTTCATGTAAACCACATGCGACCCTACGCAAGGTTATCTTAGAAATGGGTTCAGATGGTGAGAAACTCGGCCCCAATTCTAATAACGAGCGCGCACCGTCGGGGAGGGTTATGCCTCCTAACACGGTTAACCTTGAATTTTCTTGCACATTACCTATCCTAATGTGATCTGTTTGATGTTCTTTAGCGATATTTTTGTGCGCTATTGAAGCTGTGTTATGTGATTTACTCAAAAGGTCTTCGAATTTTCTTCGCAAAGCTACTTTAGCATTAGACCTAATAGAGTTGCAAATCAACACTGACCCGCCCACTATTCTCCTTCAGAGGTGGTCCTCCAAATATTGAGCACAAAAGTTGCTAACATTTATCTAAGAAAAAATATACCACGATCCTCCCTCATAACCATAAACACCTATCACCGCGAAGGGACAAAGGATGTGGTTTGCAGCGTTGATCCCTTCCCTGAGAGGTGCGCCATGCATTCGACTTCATCATTATTACGATAATTGAATGCGTATCTGGCGCATACAATAACTCGTGGTTGCCTACTAATGTATCAAGTCGGTGCTGCTATCCCCCCAGACAAGTATAGTACCAATTTGCTAACTCCGGAATGATGGAAGGCTTGGTGAACCTGGAGCGAGGGATCGAACCCATGTGTATTGTAGGGCGCCTCTAATCACTTCGCTACACGCGCCCATACCGCGGTGATAGCGTACTAGAATTCAAAAACATTCTGCGAAATAAACTGAAGTGATTTTAAATAGTAATAAATACGCATCAAAACGATTTCTATGCGTGTTCGGTCGAAAATGGTTGTACCCTTCAACTTCAGGCAATCATCTTTCAGTTCATAAACAAGTTCAGAAATTGAAGCATTGAAATCTACAAATCATTTCAATAAGGTACAACCTCTTTTCTGTTTTACATTTTAAAAAATTTAGATTTCTTGGAGTATGCAACGTTTTAATACTTTTTCTTTGTAAAAGAAGCATTTAGAATTCTTAAACCCTTCGGCAGTCGGGGGAAGTCGTGGAAGAGCACATGATCGGGTCTCCCTCCCAGTTTAGCTTTGGTCTATGGATTCAACACAATGGCTTCAAATTTTAGAAACACAAAATTCAATTCCAATATTTACTTGATCAGAATTACGAAGAAGACTAAGATAAAACGACATGTTAAAAGAACTACTTTATGCTTAGAGTGATACTACTACGTCTATTCAGTAGGCTTACTAAGTTTCTAAAATATCCTACTTTTCGAAAAACTACCAGCAGCTGTCAAAAACCAGTTTCCTTCCAAATGCTTTAAAAGAACAGCTTATAGTAAAAGCTTAAATTTAGAGTCTATGGATTTAGTGTTATTCGGCAGCAAAGATCTGGCTACTCTGCTTAAAGTCACAGCAGCAGTTTCTAGAAATCCTGAAAACAGCTCACCTTTTATCGTTACCTCATACTGCTGACGAGGAATCTCTCTTTTCAGTCTATGCACGATTAGTTTTGCACGTTCTCGGGCCATGGTCGCAGGGGTAATTTGAGAAAATTCAGGTACCTAAACACAGATAATGATGGGAAAGTAATATAAACTTGTACTAGTCAGCACTTCTGCGGTGGTCACATTGAACAATATCTCCATAGTCAACCATAGAAGTAAAACAAGTCGTTGAAAATATTCGTTATGTTGTCCATAGTGCAAACATACGAGACAAGAAAACAGAAAAATACAAACCAGAAAAGTGCAACAATCTACTTACTTCTCGTCCATTAATTGTAATCGTTACTTTTACAAGACTTGTTTCCAAATATCCATCTAATTCGTAGTCAAATGTTACATACCCCGATGTAAGTTGCTTCAAGCGGTCAAAGAAATCGATTATAACTGGAATAAAGCACGATTTTCGAAGAACTCCTATAGAGACGGATCTAATTTGGTTCTGTTATAAGCAGACAGCTTTTCAGCACTCAGTAAGCTTTCTAAAACGTAAAGCAAATGAATGGTTAAGGGGTAATTACCAAACCAACCTTCAGCCAGAGGTAACCGCCAGATTATTAGTAGCCTATCCTCATCGACTGAACTTATTTCACCACGTTCACCACGATGTTCCGAACATAAACCGTTTACAGTACCCATGAATTCCGTGGGAACGACCATTTGAATCTAATAAAAATGATACATACAGGGAATAGCTAAAATTTTAAAATTCTAATACATACTCGGATACTTGGATGGCTCGTAGTCATTGGTTGTGCGGGCCCCAACATAATCTCTATCTTTCCGGAGTTTTGCTGGTTTAGCTAATGTCGTTCCCTGGAGTCCCGAGGTCAGACAGAACAAAGCCTGACCCAGGTCGTCACCACCGGAGGCAGTCGCCTTCCTAGTGGATCAGGTGAAGATTTGCCAACATGAGAGCAGTTTGATACCGATACCAGGACAGTAGTGGAACCTGGTAATAGTTTACTCTTAGCTGGGCTTCCTGATGGAGACGCAAGAGTCCTCTTCAACTTCGGAGACGCTTCCGGGTGGATGAATCCCTTTGCTCTACACCGCTGCCCGACACCCAAGAACACCTCCCAACCACGATGAGGCGGTAAACCGTTAGAAGGGAAATTCTAATAGTACTCCAATACAATAATGTACTTCTGTAGTTGAAAGGCTGCACACGATGTCTACGACTTTTATATTAATCTGAAGCTCAGTTAAGTCAACGACTTGTAGGTAATCATTTCATGAAATAAGAAACCATTGTCACAAGATTAGTTTAAAATTGAACGTGAACTACCTTGACAACGGGCTCGAGAAATTTTTCGATATCACTTTCACAAGGAAATTTGCTCGCATCAATAATACTGATTTCACCTTTGCCTCCGAACCTTTTTTTCCGCACTGTCTCGTTGTTCTAAAAATTGAAGGAGTATTGACAGAACCGAAGCTGATTCCAGGAGAATTGCAGGCATCACACCTTAATGATTGCTTTGTACTCAACAGATGGATGAGAAAGAATGATATTCGCACCATATTCTTTTTCCAACCGCGCACCAAATACCTCCATATGTAGTACGCCTAGAAATCCAACCTAAACAATATTAGAAACTCTAAAAACCACATATATATGTACATAAATGTACGCACATACGTATATACACATGTATATACATACGTATATTTATCTACGTATATATACATATATATATATATATATATATATAAGAATGGAGCCGCACAGAGTTCGGAATCAAACTTTGTGGATGTGCCAAGCATTTTCGAGCAATGTATATTTGTCCAAAACAACTCGCGGAGGCCTGTCGAGGTACTCAGTGTTTTTCATTATTGCAGACAAGTTTGGTAGCAATTTCTCTAACTAGAAAAGAAGAGGAGCCTGGTCAGCCTAGAGCGCTGAGACGAACCAATGACTACATGCACCCATGGAACCTTTAACGATTCAAGCACAACTTTTTTGAAATCAACTACGACGGTGCTGAGATATCTACAAAACTCCAGGAGGCAAGTGTCTACGATGGGGATCGAACACGCTTTTACCCTTTCCAGCGACATTGTGGGTGATTTCGCATTATACTCTGCCGTGAAATTGTACTAGGCAATGAACAAAAAAAGTTAACAATTTTTCTTCGATTAAAATATGGAACAACGAGGACTACAAATATTTGCTACGAGAGTTCGTTTATTCCGCTTTCACGAAATCCCAAAATTGACGAAACGACAAATTCTCCGAAAGCGTTTTCAGCAGCAGCTTAGTTGCTGAAGAATTTTCCTTAAAGGATCTTGAAGGACTCTCCCACTATCGAGGAACAGGCAGTTTTTTGACGCAAAATAACTCCACAGTAAACTTCGCAATGACGACGTCTCTGCTCTTCCTTCGATTGGTGTGGCATTCCGTTATCGAGCGTTTTTCATTCTTATATACTCTCATGAGATAACAGCGCAAATTCCTTTCAATATGTGCGCGAACTATACACCTCAAGTGGAAAATTATCGGGAGTTATCCAAAAACTAGGATCTTCTGCTACCATATCGGATATATGTCACTAGAAATCCGCTCATTTCATGCCATAACAGTGACTCGCGAAAGCGACTGCAAGGAATGGTGCCGTCCAGGATCGGTGATCTTGGCAAATCAGCGATGTAGCTGAATCATCGGTGTGGGCTTATCGACAATTTATTAGATGAACGGTTGACATTTATAAACCGAAAAATGCCTGTATACAACTGCCTCCTTAGTTGAAAGACTGCTAGGGAAAGAGACTCATCTGATTGGAACGTGCAAAGAGGAACATGGAAAGGCTCCACAAGCACTTCACAAAGAAATTGACTACAGGATACCTGAAGACCCCGCAGAATCGGAGCAGCATTTATGCTCCATGCGTTAACCAGACAAGCTTGAGCGACAAAATGGAAAAAAGGCAGTATGGCATGCAGAACAGAAAATATGTCACATATCACCTAGTTTTCCTGACTTAGAGAATACGAAGACATCTGGCGCCTTTTCTCCCGAATGTCCGCTCTATAATCATGCACTAAACTAAATACGCCTTTCTTGTTGTCAACGAGAGATGCGTGTAACCCTCATCAGCACAAACGTACCTTCCACCACCTTCACAATCTCCACGTTCTTCACAAAGCTCATCACTACCGATTCAATAATGCCCAAATTTCGGATTGTGTCTTCAGATTTATATGCGATTAACAATTTTTAAATTCTAACACTTCTTATCTTAAAGCATACGTCAATGTTTTTATCTAGGTTGCATTTGTTCGTTTCTAGGACAGCCCTTCCCTTTTTCCCAATAGTTTATCACCTCCTCGTGGCTGAGAGGTGTTCTTGAGTAAAGATAAGGTAAATAAGGTAAGCTAATAAAGTAATAAGGTTAGATAAGGTAAGTTAAGAGTACACCAATAACAGGATCCACCACCGTCCTAGTATCAGACTAGTAGCACGGTGGTAAGTCTCCCTCTGATCCAAAATGGCCGCGACTGCCTGTGGTGACGAACTGGGGCAGACTTTGACCAGGGTGACATCGGAGCTCCAGGGAGACACAATGGCTAGACCAGCTGAACTCCGAAAAGTGGAGAATATGCTGGAGGCCACACAACCAGTGAGGACAGGCAAGTATCCAAGTAACCAAGTAAGTTCTTCTTTTGACCGTATCTTTTTGTCTCTTGTACGAAAAGATCCAAAATATGGGTTTTAGACAAATCACAAAAATCTAGCAGGATGTATTGATTCATTACACAGGATATACGTAGAACTCGAGGAGCAACTTAGTGGAAAAGTATGAGAAAAAAGCCGAATTGCAAAGTAAAAACGGAATGGACGTGGTGATTTCTCTTGGGAGATGTGGGAGAATCTACTAAATGAATCGTATGTGATTCCTAACATCTGCGACGACCATCAGGCCTAGTATCGAGTGTGTCAACAGGATCGCATGCTTCGCATAACCGAAGGAGTAAGTAAACGATAACACATGCACATACATCTGTACACATACCTTCCAACCTAATCCAAGCGCAGGGCTAAAATCAGGCGTTATCGAAACAGAAGGATCATTAAGGCTGAGGCGCTCTAAAGCCTGAAAATTTTGCCCGTGAAACTCCTTTCACCATGCAATCATAATCGGTGATGTCCAACCTGCTTCAGATCATCGTATTGAGAAGTTTCTACTGGAAATAAACCAGCGTAAACTGTCGGCTTACTAGGATTGAAATCCGCAAAAGGCACTATTGATCCCACTCTGCTCGCTTCAAAAAGAGTCTCTCCAACTCTGGCCTCCTGTGAAATAACTAGTAACGAAAATAACTAGACGATGAACAAATCCTAATTGAATATCAACTAACCTTGACTGTTTTCATGCTGCATACCACATACCCTACCTGCCCGGCGCTCAGTGACAGACATGGTGTCATATCTGGTCGCATAATTCCAACCTAAATACAGCAGAAAATGTCAGTTAATAATCACTGACTTCAAGATCAGACGAGGATCGGATACAGAAATTAGTTCATATTACTCGACAGGTATCATTGGACTAGGTACCTCCAAAACCTCATATTCTTTTCCGTAGTGGAACGACCTAATCTTTTGTCCTTTTTGAACACTTCCATCCATGACCCGAATAAGTGCTATAGCTCCACGAAAGTGGTCAAACATCGAGTCAAAAATCTGAGCGCTAAAAGAAATTACGACAATTACTAGCGGAAATAGTACAAACCCAATAAAGGCTTTATTGTGCCTTCCATCCCATAAGCGATACATAGCTCATTTAAAAACACGAACCGAAATGGAGCTCCTGCATCTGCGGCAGGAAATGGCACCCGTTGTACAATAGAATCGAACAGATTTTCGACATTCAATCCAGACTTTGCAGAAATTTTTAGACATTCCTCGGCATCAAATCCAAATAAATTCTTCAGCTGACTTTCCACCTTAAGCTATGAATTAAATAAGGCAAATAAAAAAAAGAAAAACAAATGCAAAAATTTCACCTTTGATATATTGGCACCACTCAAATCGATTTTATTAATGACGGGAATTATTCGGATATTTCTCTCAAAAGCCAGCCAAAAGTTAGCAAGCGTCTGTAAAATGTTATCTGCATATGTTTTATATTTCACTATCAATAATTTCTTCTCCTCGTTTTTTAGGTTTTTTACCTTTCTACAAAAACTTTGCAGAGGACGAACCTATATGGTCAACCAAGTAAAAAGGCATCTTTGATGGTAAATACATAAAGTCTGGTTTGAGTGGCCCTAAACTCATCCGCTGGTGGGTACACCGGTATGCATGAGTTGATATCCACTCACTTCCTTTTTAATCGTTTATTTTTTCCAGAAATACAAGAACTTTTTGGCGTTCCTTTCATGCTGAATCAATGACTTATTCGACACAGATATTCCATCAGAGATGTCCCTACCGTAACAGAAAACTTAGGTTCGACACTTTGAGATATCTCTTCGCTAAGACAAGATCAGAAGTTACTCGGAACACCCGTATAAGCGTAAATGTAGTACTCCAGCGTTCCCTACTTCTGTCCTTCAATCTATGTTAGAATGGTCTAGCTCGGCCATGCCGAAAGCTGCAACCAGAATCAACTCGTCCAGTATTCTATTATATTCATAAAGACGACGAAATCCTCAAGCGGTAGCCGAAACAACACGCGGAATGTTTGGAGACCTTTGTGGATAGTGAATGCGAGGAAAACGAGAGCAATGGGAAAATTGTCCTCAAAGTTAGTATGATGGTAGGTAGTAGGTACACTAATCCTGCATGCGTAGCCACTTTTAGTGTACAATTTGAATGTCACATCATATCAGCTCCTTATATGTGTTGTGTTACCAGAATACCATTCATACCCTTAATTGTAAGAAGGAATGATTACCAAATTTTTGCAAGGTCTGCCTCTAGCAATCTTTCTTCGCAAGTTCGACAAGGGTTCTGATTACCTACAATTTGTTTTTTGTAGATACATTGTCGGAAAAAAAAGCAGATGATCCGACATCATGAGATATTTGCATTTTGGTATAACTTGAAGCCCAAAAGTACAGTGTACATAAAACTCCGACCATTTGGTATTAAACTTTTGAAATCACTGACTCCATCCATTGCATTTACTACGTTGAGTCATCCCTCTTGGTTTACCGTCTCATTGTGCCTGCCCTTCCGTGCACGGAATTGAACAATAAACCGTTTCGATTTTGAAAAATACATCTCAGCTCGCAGTGAACTTTATACAGAAAATACCCAGATCGTCTGCAGAGCACATAAAAAAGCCGATTTATATAGTAAAAAGCACAAGGAAAATGGCGGGGTCATTTGGTGCGAGAGAGACCGATCACCACCGACATCAATTCACAGCTAGTGTGAAGTAAAATTAAGCGTCAAATAAATGCGGCACCACATGGATCTAGACATCGGAGGCTAAGTGTTAAAATAATTACTGGCACGCAATTCGAACTTCTATTGAGCTTTGGCTCGAATATTCAACATTAGTTCTTGTTGTGGCTAACGCTTCGGCGCTTCCTTCTTCACCAGAGCCACCATTGCTCGAGTACAGTTTCCACAACAGTTCTTTCATGTTTCGGTGTGGGTCTTCGTTGTCGTTACACCGAGGCGAATCGAGTTGAGTAGAGCACTGCAGGAATGAAGCAGCATGCTCAGCGCTGTCCTTTATACAGGACTACAACAGCGCTGAATGATCTGACTTCAATGGCCAGTTCGCTAAGATACGGGACGGTCCTTGGATGAATGCTAACCAAAATCATTTTCTTCTAAAGATTATAACAATCTCGTTTAAGCTGATCAACAAAGCAAAATACTGACTATTCATGTCGTAGTTCAATGAAAATTGAAAATGAATGTTTGCATTGGTAAAGCCGTCGGTTAGTTCCAGTTCGACTGCTGCACGATGAATTGTCGCCAAAGAAGCGAATAATTTCGGCTATAAGTTGCCCAACGGTCATCTTGTATTCTAGGGAACTGCCGAGTGATAACTGGTCACCTCAGCGCGACTAGAGTCCTGTATAAAAGGGGAACTTTGAACTCTGGAGACGGTACTTCGCTTGTGCATTGCTCCATTCTACTCGATTCGTGTCGATGCGATGGCAACTAAAACCAACGATACAAGAAGGAACGACTGTTGTGTACACTAAACTCGACTGACTGTGGCTCTGATGAAGGCGAAACTGCCGGAATTTCAGCCATAATAAAGAATTAAAACAACCTTGCGAAGCAAATCAATAAACCAAGATCACCATCAATTTCATTTAAGTTATAACTGATTGAACTGACCTGCGCCTGAACTCCCTCATTTGCAGCTATCACTAACAGAATACCATCACATACAGATAGCGACCTACACACTTCTGCCGAAAAATCCACGTGTCCGGGCGTATCAATAAGGTTTAATAAATAGTCCTGATGAAGAAGTCTATGGGTAACATAAGAACAAGGGGTTGTATAGCTAACCTTATACGGAAGTGCAGAAGTTTGGGCCTTTACAGTAATTCCCCTCTCCCTCTCCACAGGAAGACGATCCAAGATCTGACTGCATCGTTCTCCTCGCTTAACCACACCAGATAGTTCCAGTAAGCGATCCGCCAATGTACTTTTTCCATGATCCACATGCGCAACAATGCTTTAAAAGTATCGGTAAAATGAATTTTTTTACAAGTTTCAAGCCAATTCACCTGAAGTTTCGAATCTTCTCGGGTGGATATTTGCTTAAATCGAGTCTTATTGAATCATCGGGCCGGAATGAAAAGCAGCGACAATTGCGATACTTAAATACTGCTCTTGCTCTTGAAAGCATCCTCTTCATAGCCACATTCTAAATTCATTAGAACTGATATCTCTTACGAAGAACTTTATTCCAATTAGAGTTGTGAGCAATTAGAGAACACAGTAATATTAGATTCAATCTCTCAATAGTGTACACATTCATTTTTGTACAAACGTGGTAGTACTGAGCTTAAATGTCTCGAGAATGTGGTGAGGAGAACAAAGAACACCCAGCTCCGTACTTACCTTTTGACCCTACTTCTTTCCCTGAGGTATGCTACACAAAGATGAAAGCAGTGCGGAAGAGGGATCTCCGTTATTAGAAGAGAAAGGAGTTAAGGCCTCTGTGCGATCACATCGACTCGACGAAAATCAAACTGGAACACAACAGGCATCTTGGTGACAAGCGCCAAACAGAAGTCATCAGCGAATGCGTTTTACCGGATTTCAAGGGCACTACAGCGTCATCTGCCCGGAAGTACGACTTCTACACAAAAAACGTCCAGGAGAATATGACCGTTTTCTTATCTACAGAAAAGAGATACCATATTGTCTGGGACGTGACAGCCGTAAATAGAATTCTCTGAGAGCAATTCAGCCACTCCATAATCGTCAAAAGGATACGCCGAGGAGACCGTACACGATTGAATGTGATGTAGTTTGTATTTGCATAATACAATATTTCCCATTCCGACAGTATTTCTCCTCCCTTGTCTCATCCCAACGGTTTACCGCTTCATCGTGGCTGGGAGGTGTTCCTGGGTGTCGGACTGCGATCTAGAGCGGTGGGATTCATTCCTCAGCAGGGTATACCAAGCTGAGAAAGAGTCCGACGTTTCCATCACGAAGCCTAGCTGAGAGTAAACCAATACCAGGATCCGCCACCGTCCTGGTACCAAATTAGTCGCATGGTGGAAAAGCTCTCTCTCATCCACAAAAGCTGCTACTTTCTGTGGTGGTGACGACCTGGAGCAGACTTAGGCCTGGCTGACCTAGGGACTCCAGGGAACCACGATGGCTAAAACAGCATAGTTTCGAAAAAAAAGGAGATTTTGCTGGGGCCCGCATAACCAGTGACGGCCCATCCAAATGTAGAGTAAGTAAGTAATATTTCTGCAACACGTTTTATAGACGATTTCGATCGCGTAAATTCTCTTCCATGCCAATTAAACTGGAAAATCCTGAATTCTATGGCCTAGTTGAGAGTCAATATGAGTCCTGGAAATTCCTTTTCTGGTGACAAATGAATTCAGATGTTCAAGGTAATAGAATGGTGGCTGAGCGGCAATGAACTGGAATGAGCGAAAGCATACAATCGGTGGCGGACTTCGGTCAGCGATGTGTAACATAATGGGCTTAAAAACCACGGTCATTCTGAGACTCAAGAATAGAAGGATTAATTCACGAATTCTCATAATACAGTACATGGCCATCTCCATGAGAAAAACTTCAATGCAGAAACGTAGTAAAATATGAATCCAAACAATGAAATGTGATAGAATGACTAGATAATAACAAATACTGTAACCTAGTTCAGAAGGTCAACACGATCAACAATACCGCATTTGGATATCGCACTGGTGGATCCGATTTTCGAAATAAACAAGAAAATAAAAGGAAAAATAGGAAGGAAATAGAAACAGAAACAAATAAGTGTGATGGACAAAAGGAAGACAAAAATGTGTCACAATGTTAGACCCTGACTCTACAACAGAAGCGATATTTACTCTCTACTTAAGATCTTCTAATTACTAAACTTCAAGTTTCCTAGTTTAACGATGTACAGCTTCTTGCGAACAACAAAGGTTCAACAGCATGGCTCCGAGGAAGGCGAAGTCACCGAAACGTCAGCCATCGAAGAACAACAGCAACAACGACAACAGCAACTGTAACATCTATTTCGAAACCGACCTTCCCTAAACCTCGGTGTGACAAATCAATATGTATTCTTTCTTGATAAGCTTGCACGAGGTTGATAAATATATTTATTTTCGGCTAACGTTTCGACGGCTTCGTCTTCCTCAGAGCCGGTGATCCGAGTCGATGGTCCATGCTTGTTGTTCGCCTCGACGTTGCGTCTTCGCCTTCCTGTCGAGCCAGATCTTCCTCAGCGAGCCATCTTCTCGAATGAGGCATCCTCACTCAGTGATGCCCTTTTATACACGATGCTGATGGTAGATATATAATGACAATGTCCGGTGGTAATAACTTGTATTTCTTCCGGACA